CGATCAGCCAAGCGGTGAAGGTGTTGCAGTCCCAATACTCAGTTATTTTGAACCAGGAGATAGAACAGAAAATTAAATTTACAAGACAGAAATATTTCGAGTCGGCTAATAAAATGGGGAAGCTGCTTGCATGGCAGCTCAGGAAAAGAAAGAAACAAAATACGATTAATAAACTTATTGTAGATGAGAGGGTGATAGAAGAACCAAGTGAAATTGAACGCAGATTTGTTGCTTTTTTTGAAAAGTTGTATGAAAAAGGAGAAGAGAGTAGTGTAGAAATAAGAAACTACCTGGATCAAGAAGAAAGAAAATTTTTTACAGAAGAGGACTGTATACAACTAAACAAAGTGGTGTCTGTAAAGGAGGTCAGGGATGCTATTAATAAGATGAAAAACGGGAAGTCCCCAGGTCCGGACGGTCTGCCAGCAAAATACTACAAGAAATTGGTAGATCTGTTAGCGCCGGTATTAACAGAGGTAATAAATAACACTCTCCAAGAGGGGAGGATTCCTAGCTCCTGGAAGGAGGCGTATATTACGCTGATCCCCAAGACAGAAAACGAAAAGACAGATTTAAAAAATTATAGGCCAATCTCACTTTTAAATTGTGATTATAAGGTTTTTGCTGACATCATGGCAAGTAGACTCAAAAATCTACTAAACAGATATATACACAGAGATCAAGTGGGATTTCTTCCAGGGAGGCAAATGAGGGACAATGTCCGGCACGTACTAGATATAATGGAGTTCCTGGAGGCAAGATCAGATGTACCAGCGGCCCTTATCTTCATTGACGCAGAAAAAGCTTTCGATCGCGTCTCCTGGGAATTTCTGTTGCAAAATATGGATAAGGTGGGAATAGGGGGCCCCTACTTGAAGGCCATTAGGGCGATCTATACAGAACAGCAGGCTAGGCTGATTATTAATAATAACCTGACTAAATATTTTCCAATTATGAAAGGGACAAGGCAGGGTTGCCCTCTGTCACCTTTACTGTTTATTTTGGTGTTAGAAACAGCCGCGAACAAAATAAGAGCGACCTCGAGTATTAGGGGATTAAAAATTGGAGAGAAAGAATACAAACTAAAGGCCTACGCTGACGACCTGGTCCTTTTCTTAGAGAACCCAATTGAAAGTATTAGCAGAGCGGTAGAACTCTTAGAAGAGTTCGGTAAATTATCCGGATTCAAGTTAAATAGGGGGAAAACCAAAATATTAATAAAGAACTTAACAGCACAGGAGAGATCACAGTTGGAACAACAGGTGGACATTAAAGTAGTAAATAAAGTGAAATATTTGGGAATCTGGTTATCCCCAAAGAATATTAATTTAGTGGAGGATAATTATAATAAACTATGGAAAGAAATGAAGAAAGACATGGACACCTGGCGTAGATTGAATCTATCCTGGACGGGGAGGATGGCATCGATTAAGATGTGTATTCTCCCGAGGCTGTTATTTCTGTTTCAGAACTTACCAGTCATAAAAGGTACCGCCTGCTTTAAAAACTGGCAAAGGACCTTGACTAAATACATTTGGCAGGAAAAGAAACCTAGGGTGAAACTTAAATATTTGACGGATTCTAGGGAAAGAGGGGGCTTTGGTGTACCAAATTTAAGGCTCTATTACGAGGCGGCATGTTTACTTTGGATTAAAGAATGGGTCACACTGAAAGATACTGATTTACTAGACCTAGAAGGATTTGATTTAAGATTTGGGTGGCATGCCTACCTCTGGCAGGAGAAAGATAAAATCCATAGAGGTTTTTATAACCATTCAGTTAGAGGGCCACTCCTAGAAGTTTGGAATAGGAAGAAAAGCGTGATAGAACAAAGTATCCCTTGGTGGCTCTCACCTGTGGACATTATCAAAATAAAGAAAGTAAACATGACAGGTAGAAGGTGGACGTATGAAGATCTCCTTATTAAATCAGAAGAAGGGTGGAAATTAAGACAACAGGATGAATTAAAAGAGAAAATCAAGGACTGGTTTCATTTACACCAAATTAACGCACTATGGAGGGAACATAAGAGAATAGACATGGGAGAAAATAAATCTAGATTCCAAGTAGAGATTATCGAGAGTAACAACAAATTATTATCTAAAATGTATAGGCAACTGCTGGAAAATGAAAATAAGGAGGTGCTGATTAAAGAGGTAATGATTAAATGGAATAAAGACCTTGGATATGAGTTAGGTTACGACAAATGGCAAACTTTGTGGAAGAATGGCATGAGATTTACGGCATGTGCTGATTTAAGGGAGAATTTATACAAGATGATGTATCGTTGGTACCTGACCCCGGCCAGATTAGGGAGAATGTATAGAACGGCAGATAATACATGTTGGAGGTGCAAAGATAAGGTGGGGACCTTCATTCATATCTGGTGGACCTGCGGGGAAGTGAAAGGTTTCTGGGGACAAATTTATGAGGAGTTAAAGAAAATTTTGAAGTATAATTTCCCCAAGAACCCCGAAGCTCTCCTCTTAGGGATGATTGGGGAGGAAATAAAAAAATCAGATCAGACCTTCTTTCAGTACGCCACCACTGCCGCAAGGATTTTAATAGCAAAGAAATGGAAATCCCCCGAAATACCAACAATGAGAGAGTGGCGGGTGAAATTGTATCAATATGTGGAATTGGCGAGACTTACACAATATATTAGGCGGGACAACCTCAAAAAGACAGAGGATTGGTCCAAATTTTTAAGTTACCTTGAGATTAATTTGGGAATCAATAATTTAACAGTAGATGATGTCTAACTCCTACGACGTGGAAAGATAAAGGAAAATAACTGCAGATGATATATGTAGAATGTTTAATCCAAAGCTGAGGTTATTGGAAGTCAAATGTGGGTAAGGGTGTGATTGGTTTTCTTTTTTCTTTCTTCTTTGTTCGTTTTTTTTTTTTCTTTTTCAGGTGTATATGTCTGATTTTATGTATGTGTAATTCTAAGTGTGTGTAATAAATATTAAATAAAAAAAAAAAAAAGAAAAATTCTCCCAAACCATTATTTGCCCTATGGACAAAACATATAAGTACCATACAGGAAGCTCTTTTTGATTTTAAATTAGAGGCACACAGTATGACAAAACTGGAGAACATGTAATATAAAGATTCTGTTGGCTTTCTATTTTATTCTTTTCCTCGAAGTGTTCTTTTAGTGTTTTCCCCCCCTGAAAATGAGCAAGGATCTTATGAATGATTCTAGCCTGACATGGCAATCTTTAAGACCAGTCTGCTTGCAGCACCTTATTTCTCCAAACCTTCATCTTATTTGTTGCTCCCTCTTGTCATTCAGCAAACATTTTCCCCCACTGTTTATGGGAGTAATGCTTTAGCTGTATCATAGTCCGTTGGCCCAATTTCCTTATTAAGTCAAACACTACAGCAATAAAAAAAATCCAGCTGTTTAAGGAAACAGGGAAAACAGCACTTTATGCTGCTGCTGCTGCTACAACAACAACAGTATGTAGCAGCACATGTTTTATTAGTTTATATACTTGAGACTAGACAGGAACATTGAAGATGCTCTAATCTAAAAATAGTACAGTGCTCACTCCCCACCATCCCCATATCTATCTGTAGAGGGACTACTGAAATGGAGGTATTATAGCAAAACATTTCAGCTTCCACTTTCTTCACCAGCTCTCATATAAATCAAGGGTGCTATAGTCAAGGTGGTAAGACGACTACAGCACCCTTTGACCGACATGAGAGTCAAAGGGAGCCACAGAAGGCAGAAGCCAAAACATTTTGCCTTAATATATCTGTTTCAGAAGTCACTGTAATAAATAAATGGGATTAACTGTATCCTTCCAAGCAAATTTGTCTGAAGGGCTGTTTGATGCTTTTTTGTGTTTTTTTTTAAGTCTCTGTCTCTCTAAATTGGTGATAGCAGTGGTATTCAAACATGGTTAATGAAAATAGACTCAGTAGTTTAGCTTCTTCCTGCTTGTTATGGACAAAGCTTTATTCATTAACTGTATCATAAACTTAGATAGGTCTGGAATAAATACAGATTATTATCTTTAAAGATTTTGTGATTACCTTGGCTATAGACTCAAAGCAAGAAGGCTAAAACTGAAAACAATTATAGTATGTACAATAATTTCCAAATGAATTTCACTTACCAAACCCTCAAATGTATTGTATGGGGGGGGGGGAGAAGAGAGAATCAGGCCACACTTTGCTGAGGTGGATGTTTCCCTGAATGGGTGCACAGTTTTTCATTTGCCTATGTGGTACACGTATGATTCCCACTGCAGTTCATGGGAGCCTGGAGTCTTGCTTGTGCACTCAACATTAGTGTTGTTCACTAGGACAACAATGATATTCTTAGGAAAAATATGATGGGCAATAGGCTGCACAAAATAATGCTGCTTTTGGAAGGGATTGTCACATAGCACAATATTCCTGAAGACACACCCTGCAAGAATAATGGTCTCTGGAGAAGCTTACTTTATCTGTTAACCCGGCCTGAAGTCCTATGGAGCAGAGGATTACTCTGGAGTTGTGACGGCCAAAGAAAGTGCACAGGGGTTAAAACTGATGGTTAGGATTCCTGACGTCAGGATGAGAAAAACTGGTATGAGGGAACAGGCTAGTGCTAGACTGTCCTGATTCCCAAAGCATTTTCTGAACTTGGGGTGAAATGAAGATGAGGGCAACAGACATGGTGAGAGACAGCTCACAGGAAGATTCTCAAACAGAGAAGCTCCAGTGTGCTTGAAGAGTTTTGTGAGTGACTCAATAAGTTTGTTGGCAGGATGCACTGAAGACAGTGCAAAATAAAAGGCTACGGAAGTTTTCACTCTTGGTTCAAAAAAATACAACCTTTATTAAAAGGTGGTCCCTTTACTAAAACAGATGAATAAAATAAGGAAGCATGTATAACAATACACCTCTGTGTGACTGAAATGCAAGATGAGGTCCATAGACTGGGCAAAAAACACTTTCTTAGCCCTCCCTTAAAAATATATATATCAGGCCATACCCACCTGTAGCAGTCAGGAGCAGAGAACAGTCTTGTCCATTCAGATATTCCATGGCAGTGATCCTTGTGTAGCGTGGGTTCCCATTGTGAAAATAGTCCAGCTTTTCTCCCTTTTCCCAATCCCAAAAACTGGGAAAGGCAGGGGGGGAAACAAATAGGTAAGTTGGATTCAGGTTCCAAGTGGATTTAAGTTCCCAGGATAAAAAAAAAAATGTTATTCTATACACTGGCTCCAAATCAAATGTATTCCTCCAGCCCACCCACCCCATTTTGAGTATTTAACTTTTGATTAATGTCTCTTCATTACACCTCCGGCTTCCGCAGAGAAAATAATAAGGCTGAAATTCTATTAGCAGGGTCTGTAACAAATCCAGGCACAAGACGACTGCATGTATGAGACTTTTGCTTAGCAGCAAGAACAGGGCACCAGCTCAAGGGTGTTTAAAATGCCAGTGCCTTACCAGATGCTGTCCTTGTCAGCCACCGCTATACACGGGGTGAATGGATGAAACTTGACCACTGACGGCATGCCAGGGTTCCTGTTCAGGAAGATTTGATCATCTAGTCGTGAAATACCTAGGGGGAAAAGAAAGAGAAAAACAACATGAATAGTGGTATCAGGACCTCTCACAATGCCAGCCACCCTGAGCCCTAAGACTGACAGGGGAGGTCCTATCAGTGGGACTGCCAATATATGCTGCCTGATTGGCATTAACCCATGAGAAGGGCTTCTCCTGCTAGTGGTTTTCTCTTTGTGGAATGCCCTCCCTCGGGAGGAGCATCTCCCTCATTAGTAACTTTCAGTAGGGACTTAAAAACACTCCTGTTTACCCAAGTACCTGATTGCTGAAAGACTGTTCATGGCAACTTTGAAATTATTAAGCTGTGAGGATATGTGATTGTTTTATGTTTTAAAATATTTTAAATTGCTTATAAATATGTTTTATTTTTATTGTATTGTTTTAGGACTTTGGTGTGTTTTTTGTTTGCTCTGGGTTCCTTTGGGAGGAAGAGCGGGGTAGAAATGTAATAAATATTCATAATCATAAAAAATAAATTCTGATACTCAAGACTACATTGAATGTACATAATTTAGTATTCTACAAAGGAGGTTCTTGAAATATGCTATGCCTGGTCTCCTCAAATTAAAGGAGGGAACCCAACCTGTTTCTGTCCAGGCTATCTTTATTTGTCCTCGGTCCACACAGAAAATGAAAACATCACTCAGCAAGTGCCCAACTGTTGTACTTGATTCCCTCCTGCATTGCATGTCTATTTTCTGTGTGAGAGCACAGGGGAAGACTGCCAAGTTGTCTTCACTGTTTGATAGCCTCTCCTGACATTGCATTGCATTCCTGACAAATTGGAGATCTCACAAATCTTTTCAGATTTTGATAGCAGCGCTCTAAGGAGGTTAAGACGAGAACAGATTGGATTAAGCAGGCAAAATGTTTGTGCCTTGTTAAATACTTATTGCACTATGCCAATAAAGGCTGAATGGGCAGGTGAAAAAAGAGATACCTTTACAATATAATGCGCAACTATGAAAAGAGCCGAAGTTTCATACTTAAATAGGGCTCAAAGCCCCCAAATATTAATGGCAATTTCACACAAGAACATCATTTTCTGGAGTTCCAGTGTAAGGCAAATCTGACTATATTCTTGTGACAAAATGTTTTTTGCAGGTAAGTGGAGGCAGGTTTCCAAAATGGACAGCATCAAAAAAATTCTCCAGTGTTTCCACCACTGCTAAGAGTATGCAAAATAAAATTCTGAAACTGGCATCCTTAACTGTTTGCAGAGTTGTATGCATTGTTCCTTTAAAATAAAAATGTAAGGCTCTCTTCTCTGCTGACTCAAGCCTACTAGGTCTCAAAGGACTGAGCTATATGTGAGAGACAGACCATCTCTCTCGACAGATTAATATTTCACACTAATCTTTCCCCAGCTGACATCTGTAGACGGAAAGTCCCCCCAAATTTTCTCATCCCTGGTGAGAGCAATCTTGAGTCACGCTGAAAATGGCACTATAGGTGAACAGAACAAATTTGCTCTTATTCACTGGCCAACCAAGCTGCAGAAAGAGTAGAAATGTCAATTCTAACCACAGCTATGCAAAATTAAGGGGCCACTTCAGCAAGATACAGGGAATTCAAATATCCTCTGTCATTAAACAATAAAGCCCACAGCCTGACTGCTGCCTCGTAAATGAATAAAGAGTTATAAATAAGCAAGATGCGCTTTCAGTACAGCACTGAATATATATGCTGATGAAACGTGAGTCCAATGTATATGAAGGGAAAGAAGCTGTAAGTGTAAAAGAGGCCACACATAAAAAAGCATTGCAGAAACATGACAGGATATGAATAAACAATCATTTATGGGGCCCCATAAAACCAAAGGATACTGAAACCCTTTAGGTGCCTTGTGAATGTGATGGGGATACAGCAGGCTCTTGCAGATCACAAGCTAATTTGCTGGAAACCCCAGCAGTATTAGACACCTATCAGACTCTGACTCTGCTCTTTGGAGAAGGTGAAAATGCTGGCATTTCGCCTGCAACACCATCTCTTGTAAACAAGCTGCCGCATCCATCTAAACTCTACCGGATGGAAGAAAAGCCTAGCTATGTTCAGCAGCATATGTTCAATGTCTTTGAGCAATTCGTTTTATCTCGAATATTTTGCTTTTGGTGGGGCATGCCATTTCTGATCAGCATAACTGTCCAGAAGCTCTGCTACTAGCATTCAGTGTTAGCAAGCTTCCTCGGTAGGCACATATTTCACATACGCACCCCCCCCAGAATCCCACCTTTAAGGTAAAGGTAAAGGGACCCCTGACCATTAGGTCCAGTCGTGGCCGACTCTGGGGCTGTGGTGCTCATCTTGCTTTATTGGCCGAGGGAGCCAGCATACAGCTTCCGGGTCATGTGGCCAGCATGACTAAGCCGCTTCTGGCGAACCAGAGCAGCACACAGAAACGCCATTTACCTTCCCGCTGGAGTGGTACCTATTTATCTACTTGCACTTTGATGTGCTTTTGAACTGCTAGGTTGGCAGGAGCAGAGACCGAGGAAATGGGTGCTCACCCCGTCGTGGGGATTCGAACTGCCTATAGACAGCAGCAATAGAATTACATGGGCAGATTTAGCTAGTTACTTACGTTTACGCACAGATCTTAATATGGGATAATGATTACTGAGCACAATCAAAATATGCACATGCTTCGAATGTCAGCGGGGAATAGCTCAGCTACAATATGCACATTTCCTGGGTTAGGGAGAATTAGCTAATTAATTCTAACCACTACTAAACTATTGCACCCATGCAACATACGTGTGAAAAGGAGCATGTACACAGGACGCAAGAGGAGATGGGGTCGGATGGGCAAGTGTCCTGCTGCTGAGAGAGACACATTAGTCTTCTCCCTCTGTGTGTGTGTGTGTGTGTGTGTGTGTGTGTGTGTGTGTGTGTCTGTCTGTCACTCTCTCTCGGCTCACATTAAAAACCAGACCTCAGTGATGCAAAGTGGAATGAATGTAGTGAAAAGCTGACTTAGGCAAGTACTAAAATACCTGTTTAAAACACAGGCACACAAGGATAGGAAGAAGGAGCTACAATTTGTAGGGAAAGAACCTGCCACCCCAGGAAAACAGTACACTGAAACTCCTGGGTTAGTCAGGAAACAGTCAGGAGCAGAGAACATCCTTGTTCATTCAGATATTCCATGGCAGTGATCCTTGTGTAGCTCCTAAATTCCTGGGTTAGGAAACAGTGGGAAAACCACAAATCATATTGGCAATATCGGAGCAGAGTGTCTCCCAGACTCTTGTAACTAGCAGCCTGCTGACTCCACATGCATGTGCTTTACCCAAAGGAGAAAAAGGCTGTCCAACTCTCAAAAGCAAACAACCCCATTACAACAAAACAAGTTGAAGTTGTGAGCAGAAGCTCACGCTAAAGAGGTCAACACTGGCCAAACAAATGGTTTATGAACAGTGTTCTTCTTCATGGCCTCATGTAAAGAGTGGATAAGCATTCTTCTTGGTGCCAGGAGATGTATAAAGTGGCGTGGGTAAGGGAGAAAAAGTTGACCACCTTTTTGGATGATTTTCTGTGCCTGCTTTCGGACTCTGGCATTGCGCAGAAACCGCCACTCCCTTTCTTTGCGGACCTGGCTCTCCAAATCATGTTCTTCTGGAATCTGCCAATAAATAATAATAATAATAATAATGAATACAACAGGAGAATGGCAAAAAAAGGCTTCTTGCGATTCCAAATGCCTGCTAATTTCAACCAGAACAGGGACCCTTCAGCCAATGCAATCTGACCAAAACCAGCAAGGGGCAGATGAGGTTTTTCTGTTCTTATACACTTCATTACCTTCTGAACTGCACATCATCCACCACTGGGCCCCAGGGCTGTCAAGTGATCAAAGCCTCAGTTGTTTCATTTAACCAATTAAAATAAATATGATAAAATGTCTACACAGGCAATATTTTCAAGAAATCTAATGCAGATAATTTTTCATTGACAAACGACAGGGAATTCAACTGGAATGCACTGCCTGAATGCAGATGTATACATAGATCAATTGCAAAAATAATATTGGCACTGAAATCCTCTCACTCGGGACATTTATTTTAAAATGCACATTTTAAGCCTATGGCTGATAAACCGTATCCGTTATTTGACAAATATTCCAAAACCTATTCTTTACTCACTCTTTGAAAAGGTCTATTTGTTTTTGTCTTGTCTCATTCAGGCTACAAGTTCTCACAGAAAGCAAATGAATATCCCATTTTCTTAAACAGCAACGTAAATTTATGAAGCTCATATAAATGGCTTGTCACAGCAGATATATTTGAATCTTGTGGCTGCTGTTACGAACCTGCAAGCTCATCCCTAGTACAGGACCATTTTTACACTTGTCTCCAAGGCTTTCTTCTGTTTAGATGGAAGGAGTGCAACTTCTGCATAATTCCTTATGAATAAAAGGCTCCATAAAGTATGTGGTAGGGAAATGTAAACACAGAAGGTATAATTCAAAATTGGAGACAACATGTGGAGATCCTGTACTTCTTCCTGTCGAGGGCCTGAGCAGCTAGGGGATCGTAAAGATTCTGCCCCGTTATTTAAGGAAGCAAGCACACTCAATTGCAAGAAGTTGATGCTGCTCATATTTTGGGAATGGCTGCTGAAAACAATTAGGCAGAAGTGTAACGGCATGAAAACGTACATATTAAATGTCAAACGTGAGTTGGCTTTCTGTGCAGAGAAAGGTGTACTTTGGATTTTCAGAGCCAGGCCTGCAGTTTTCAAACCAAGCACTCACTCAGCTCAGGTGTTTTGCTTTCATGACGACATCCTTTGAAATTATTATTCATGCCATGATGAAGACTCTGCTGATATAAAACAGTGCTGCTAATCAGTTGGTACTGTAGCCTGAGAGACCAGGCATTGGTTACCACTGAGAAAAGAGGCGTGGTAGCTGTTAAATTTGTTCTAGACCAATAGGAATCCAAGGAAGAACATTTCTTTTAGAAGAAGAAGAGTTTGGATTTGATATCCCGCTTTATCACTACCCAAAGGAGTCTCTAACATTCTAACATTACCCAAAGGCTAACATTCTCCTTTCCCTTCCTCCCCCCACAACAAACACAGGTGAGTGGGGCTGAGAGACTTCAGAGAAGTGTGACTAGCCCAAGGTCACCCAGCAGCTGCATGTGGAGGAGCGGAGACGCGAACCCGGTTCTCCAGATTACGAATCTACCGCTCTTAACCACTACACCACACTGGCTCTCTTAGACTGGTTATCAGAACCTCCCAGTTCACAACAGAAAGAAAGACATATCAATAAAGACTGAAAGGGCACACTTAGTCCCTATCAGTCCAGAAAAAAAGTATGCCAAATCATATTGCCATGCAAAAAGGATTCACAGCAGCCCATCCTCTGGAAACAAATCACAACAAGATTACAAAGCTAGACAGCATTTATTTTATTATTTAAAAAATAACAATTCTCCCTCACTCTCCCCAGTAGTTTTCTTTGGCAACAATCCAAGGTTTGTTAGACGGAACATGAGAAATGAACAGCAATGTACAGCAATAAGCAAACCCAATATAAAATACATTAAAGTATTTTCAAGTGGAGAGATATCCTTTGATAAAAATGTCATTTCAAAGGAATAAATTGGAAGAAGATCTTAAAGGACTCTGTATCAAGAAAAGAAGACAAGGGGCATGTACAGAATCTAAACATTACCAGTTGGCATCTAGCATGGCTTTTGTAGGTATGGATTAGGAAAAGCTTCTTCCCTGTGTAACAGCTCCTATGGAGTTAGTCTGTCCATATCAGAAGCTGGCTGCACCTAAGTGCCTTCAGCACATGTGTTGCGTTGGCCTACGATGCCAAATATGTTCGTATGTTCATTTGTTTCACCTTATCTGCTCTACCATGCCAAATTATGGAAAGGAAGAGCTACATGGTTTTCTCTATGTAGTCATATGAGGAAGTATCACATACATAAACGGAAAATAGGTTGCATCCAATGAAGTTGTTCCTTTACTGCAAGGAATTTAGAGCAATTTATGCCGGAAACCAGATGAGGACCAGGGCATTAGCTTCCTGATCACAAGCTTCCATACTGTGCAATGTACTAGAGCAAGCTGATATACTTTGTCACTTTGCAATGAAACTTCTCCTCTCTTAACCCCCCCTCCCTGTGCACCCCCATATCTATTCTGGCGGTTCCTCAACTTTCTAGGGCAGATTTGGGAGAGGCACAGGAGGGTATGTAGAGGAGGAGGAGAAGTTCTGCTGCACTAGCAGAAACAGGACAGCTTCATTGGGTACAACTCAGTATTTTTGGCCTCATACTCTGGTGAGCTGTAGTGGAATGCACTGATGAACAGGACTGACCCACAACATTTTGGCACCCAAGGCTAACCACAAAGTGGTGCCCCTATCCCCACCAGGGGAGAAGGGTGAGTGAAGATCTGCATCAGGAACAAGGATGGAAGGAAAATCTACATGAATATCTGCTGCCCCTATGGCTCCTGGCACCTGAGACGGTCGCTTTACCCTGCTTCATGGGTAGGCTGGTCCTGCTAGTGAATGATGTTGCTAAAACCAAGGCAGTACTTGGTTCTAGCAACTCGGGAGGGAATGGAATAAACCATCTACACACAAATGGGAGCAACCTGAGATCAGTACATGTGCAAATGTCTCAATTAGTGGCCAATTATCAGCAAGGGATTAAGAGTGTGATCCGAAATAAGTGATTTAAGAATAACTTTAATTCCTTTCCCAGAAATAAGGACTCGCTAGAGTATTTGCATTTTTTCAGCTTAGGTGACTGGGTTACAAAGGTGGGGCAGGATGGAGTCTTATAAAATTACGCATAGTGTAGAGGAAGTGGAATGAATGACACTCCCTCTCTCATAACACTTCAAATTAGAGGTCATCCAATGAAACTGACAGGCACAAGATTAAAGATAAACAAAAGAATGCACCTTCACACCATGCAATTCATAATGGCTTAGATGGCTTTATATGCCTGTTGTCTTTGTCCATGGAGTTTTCTTGGCAGGGATACTGGAGTGGCTTGCCAGTTCCTGCTCTAGGTGGATCACGTTTGGTCAAAACTCTCCACTATGACCTGTCCATCTTGGGTGGCCCTGCACAGCATAGCTCATAGCTTCTCTGAGTTATTCAAGCCCCTTCGCCATGGCTTAGTATACATACTAGTATACATACATACTTCCATACACACTTAGTATACATACTTCTATACATACTAGTAGTGATGTATGGAAGTGAGAGCTGGACCATAAAGAAGGCTGATCGCCGAAGAATTGATGCTTTTGAATTATGGTGCTGGAGGAGACTCTTGAGAGTCCCATGGACTGCAAGAGGATCAAACCTATCCATTCTGAAGGAAATCAGCCCTGAGTGCTCACTGGAAGGACAGATCCTGAAGCTGAGGCTCCAATACTTTGGCCACCTCATGAGAAGAGAAGACTCCCTGGAAAAAACCTGATGTTGGGAAAGATTGAGGGCATAAGGAGAAGGGGACAACAGAGGACGAGATGGTTGGACAGTGTTCTCGAAGCTACCAGCATGAGTTTGACCAAACTGCGGGAGGCAGTGGAAGACAGGAGTGCCTGGCGTGCTCTGGTCCATGGGGTCACAAAGAGTCGGACACGACTAAACGACTAAACATCAACAACAGATGGCTTTAAAAAGACAGGACAAATTTATTGAGTGTTAGGACTATTAATAGCCATTAGTAATGAAATCTACTGCGATCTCTACCTTCCGAGGCAGTAAAGGAAGTGTAAACCAGTTTTTGCTGTTTGGGGGGCAATCAGTGGAGGATGGCTGTTGCGCTCATGCCATACTTGTGGGCTTCCCAGATGGAGGATGATAGACTAGATGAACCATTGGCTCAATCCAGCAGGCCTATTCTCACACTATGTTTGTTCTCTCCTTGCAGTCATTTTTTTTTTACTTTAGAAAAGACTTTCTATAGTAAACAAAAGACAAGCTTCTGTTCTGTTCTATTCACTTCTATGTGGGTCTCCCAGAGGTGTGTGGGTGTATGGAATAGTGTTACATGATTAGGATCATGACACACTACAGATTTCTAACACCTCTTGGCTTCCACTCAGACAGAAACCAATTACAATTCAGAAGTATCCCACTGAGCAGTGCCATGTGAAAGCCAATGAAGTTGTTCTCCGCTTTATCCATATCAAGATGGAAACAGTCAGCAAGGGGTTGTGGAAATAAGGACAGAGGCTGGATTTTCTCCTTGCAGCAATAAATAATGTTATAGGGCAGATCTCTGCTGGTTTCACAGTGATGAAACAGTTTCCTAAGGGGCTAAATCCTTCATCAGTTGAACAGAGCCAGAGCCACTGTGGAGCTGAGGTGGCAACCTGTGGCTATTGAGGCTAGGGTGTGAGTGTATATTTTTGTTCATATGTTGCCTGCATTAAACATAAAAGATCCTAAAAGTTGCAGTCAGACACAGGGGCAACACCAACACTGCACTTCCCCGACTTTTAACGTTTTCAGAACTCTTGAGGTGGGAGTGGGGCTGGATCTATGATTACCTGAGCATTGCTATTAAGTATCAGTTAAAGCACTACCAGCTAAAGCACTACACTCTTTTCTGAAACAAACCTTGTTCTGCTTTT